GCATGGAGCAAGATCAAGATCTGGGCGGCAAGCATTACTCCCGCTGTAGCAGCGCGGGCAGCACCCATACACCCAACTCTTCGGCGCACAATTCTGGTAAGCAGTCAGCGTCATCTTCACTGATTCGTTTGTTTTTGTTTGTTTTCAATGCGAGCGTGACGATCAGCTGATAATAATGATGGTGGCATTGAGTTTCCGCCTCTGTTGTTATTTCTGGTATCCATTATCAGCGCGTAGCATTTTATTACACTTGCCCGACCTCTCTATCTATCTATATCTCTCTCACTCTGCCTCGGTCTCTTCCCGCGCACACAGACGACGATGACGACAGCGGCGATGCACGACACATGGGAGCCACAAATTCGAATTCGAACTCTTCGCTGAGCTACAAGGAGCGCCGACGCTCGGCTCACACCCAGGCGGAGCAGAAGCGTCGGGATGCGATCAAAAAGGGCTACGACAGTCTGCAGGAGCTGGTGCCACGCTGCCAGCCAAACGACTCGTCTGGCTACAAGCTGAGCAAAGCGCTGATACTGCAGAAGTCCATCGAGTACATTGGCTATCTGAATCAGCAGAAAATCAGGCAGGAGGACGAGAGCGCCGCTCTGCAGAAGGAGGTGACGGCGCTGCGTATCATACAGAACGGCTACGAGACCATGCTGCAACATCAGCAGGCCAATCCGGGGCCCGAAGAGGCGCGTCTCACAGACGAGGCCAAATTTCAAGTGGTCAGCAAAATGCGAACCAAATAGTCGCACTAGAAATAACCCCGTGACAATCGCTCACTGACTCGTGTTTCACAGTTTCAGGCAATACTGGACGAAATGTTTGAGACATTCCAGAACATACCGATGGATAACTTCAAGCAGCTGACAAGCGGCGTCATACCCTGGCTGGAAGAGCACTGCAAGCCGCACATTCTGCGCAACATTCTCAGCCGGACGCTGCAGCAGATGGCGCAGGAGACGCAAGAGAAGCAGCAACAGGCCATGGACCAGGAAACTGGGGAGGGCTTCAGTTGAATCCCCTTGTTGTCGTTTGTTTTTTCGGTCTTGTTTCTGTTTTTGGTAAATGCTTTCATTAGTAAATGCGTCATTTAGTTGTAAAAGCGTGCGATATAAAGAGGCTAACATTGACTTTTTGGCTTAAGCTTAAAGATTAGATAAATGCTACAATTAGATAAGAGATTTGCCTACATATACTTAGCTTAGGGCGTGCCTGCCGCGCGCACTCAGAATCTGGCGCACAATCTCCATCTGCTCAGTGGCCTTCAGCAGAGTGAGCAACTGGAGCAGCACATTCAGTGTGTACGCCTTGAAGCGAGCCACTTGCTCGTCGACTGCTAACGCCGTCAGCAGCTGCAGCTGGTAGCGCTGCGTCCTGTCCGCCGTCCAGACATGACGCGCCTCGTGCTGCAGCTTGAGCATGCCCGCTTGCATGGTGAACAGCAAAGCCTCGTAGAAGTTGTCGTCCTTCAGCTGCGACGCCTTCTTGGCGCTGGCCAAGAGCACGGCCGGAAGATCGCAACGGAACTCGTGAGCGCGCACAAAGCATGTGGCCGCCAGTTGACGCACATGCTCGCATCTGTGGCGCAGCAAACGCCAGCTGAGCCGGCGAAAGCGCTGCAGTAACTGCGTCGACCGCTGCGGCTGGCCAGTGGTGCACAGGTGCTCCACCTTGGACAGAAAACCCAGGAACAGTATAATGGAGGATGTGGCCTTATCGCCACTGCAGCAGTTCAGCATGTACTCGCAGGCCTTGGGCAGCTGGCAGGCCAGCTCCTCGTAGTTCATTTCGCTGGGCTCCCATTCTAGCTTCGTGTCGAACTCTGTGGCCTGCCGCTGGCCCACCAGCTTGCCAAGTGTCGCCCCGAAGAGCTGCAGCGCAGCATTCGAAATGGTCCACTCGGTGTAGTCGATGTACCCAATGGCCACCAGCATGATCTCGTTGTAGTACTTGCACATGGCCGGCCGCAGTTCCGTGTCCCGCACCAGCACGCACAGATAATGCAGCGCCAATGCCTCCCAGAGGTCGTGGTTGCTGCTGCCGGCTGCTTCGTCGCTGGCGCTGCCATTGAGACGCTCCAGTATGCGCTGCACCGCTCGATGCAGCAGTGTGCGCTGGCGCGAATCATCGTTTTTGAGCACGTGCAGAAACATTATGGAGAAGCCGGCGCCGCGTCGCGTAGTGCTCACCTGACGGCACTCGGAGAGCAGCTCTCGCTCAAGACAATCGTGCAGCAGCTCAAATGCTCGATCCCCGCTTGGAACACTGCTGGTAATGGCGCGCGTCAGCCTGCCAATGCTCAGGCCAGCTGCCTCGATGGCGCCCTTGTGCCGGCACCGAGTCAACACGGCCACATTAATGTCCAAGCAGCGCTGCAGTGCCTCGCAGTCGGGCATGCCAGCCGGGGCAGAGCGAAGCAGCGCACAAGCCAGGCTGGTGGCCAAGTCACAGCTTGCCTGCAATGAAGGTGATAGATTAAGGAGAATTGCAAGGAAACGATTCCAGAGACACCCACCTTCAATGTCAGCCAGAAGCTCATGAGCAAATATTTGCGACACGCCTCGTGATCCTCGTCGGCCACGTAGACGCTCTCACTGACCAGCAGCTGCAAGCTCTCGTCCATGTCCTGGAAACTGGCGGCTGATGGCTCCGTCTCCGCCTGCCTCGCATTGGCCAAGTTGAGAAACTTCAGAATCACGTTCAGTATCCTCTCGAGCAGCGGCAAGAGCTCTGCTACATCTGCTTCCAGACTAATCCGACCACCACTGACCAACTCGTTCAGAACACAGATGTGGCCAAAGAGATGCCCGCCGTCGCTTTTTGTGGTCTTCAGTGGATCCAGCTGGAATGCATCGAATTTGTGCGTCAATTGCTGTAGACATTGGTCGTAGAGGCTGTGGGTCAGCTGTGGATCAGCACCGCTGCGAACCACCAGCTGCACGTAGAGCGAGACGAGGGAGCACTCATCCACATCGGAGCTGAGGCAGAGCGTCAGGCAACGCTCGTTGCACTGCACGCTGTCCACGTGGCCCAGTTCGAGCAGAAGGGAAACAGTCAGCTCCAGAGCATCGTCAAAGCCTTGCGGATCGTCAAGGGACTTGAACAGCAACTGCGCCACGGACTTTGGCTGGAAGACGCCATGATCCAGCAGGAAGGCGCCCAGCTGCTGATTCTGCTGGGTGCTGCACATCTTGGCATTCTTGGTCACGCGCGTGCTGTATAGGGATTTGTGCAGGATTTCGAGCATTTTCAGGGCGAATATTTTGGGCTGATATACGTCGGAGAGGATGTCCTGCTCCAGCAGCTCCTGTTGCTGCCGGAAGAACCGCTTAATGTCGTTGGCCAGTGCATCGCTGCCAGCGCCTCCATCCACCCTCAAGGCCCTGCTGAAGTGCTTGGCCGTGTGGTTGATAATGTTCGGCATCTTGCCCAGCATTGTGTTGCGGAATTCGGAGCTCTCCACGCCCCGATGACGCTCCATGAAGCTGTAGAAGAAATCCAGGCAATCCTCGACAGCAAAATTGGCGAGATTCTCCACCAGGAACTTAAAGATCAGCAACTGCGCCTCCGTCTCGAATCCGCTGCAATTGGTCAACAATTCCGTGCTGATCTTGAAGAAATGCAGCTTGGATGCCACATAGATCTCCTTGGCGAACATGCTGAATATGAGTATGAGGCGCTGCTGCTCGCTGGCCGACCGAGCGGACTCCGAGCTGGCCAGGAACTCCACAATCTCTGGCTTTGCCTGCAGCAGCTGGAAGAGAGCATCTCGTTGCTGTATGCGCAGAAACCACTGCGAGTGAAAGTTTTGAATCTCCGCTATGTTGCCATTAACCAGCAGCTCCACAGCCAGATTGAGCAGAGCTGCCGAGCGCTGACTGCTCAGGCTCTTCACTGGATACTGACTGGCCGCACGCAGGCCCTTGTAGCTCAGACTCAAGCGCAGGCCTGCGAAAAACTCCGACTCGTCGTGCCCGCTCGCAGCCAGCAGCTGCGGCAGCCCATGCGAATTGAGTATGCCGCTCAGCAGGTAGTATTTGTTCCGATTCGTCCACGGCCAGAACTCCACGATGAGGCGAAAGTAGGCAAAAGCGCGTTTTTCCTGTTTGCAGCAGTGATTGAACAGCGTCAACGTTTCCTCTCGCGAGCCAACCTGACTCTGGCGCTGCAGGCAGTGGTAGAAATGCTCTAGGTGCAGCCTCAGAAGCTGTAGCTTCGTAAACTTCTTCACCAGCAAATTAGTGGCCTTTAATATATGCACCAGGCTGCTGTCATTGTGCTGCAGGGCCGCAATGATGGCATCCATGCACTTGTCCTCAATCAGCTGGGCATCCAGTCGCGACCAATGGTTGGTCAGCAGAACCGCCTGCAGCATGAGAAACGCCTGCGGTTGATCATACGAGAGACGCTCAGGCAGATTAGAGAAATGTTCGTCCGCGAGCTCATATTTGTGGACGATGTGATAATAGACGCGGAAACTGACGTTTAGGGCAGCCTGATTAATGCTGAGTGACTCCGATTGGTTGGCCTCCTCGAAAATTTGGGCTGCGAGCTGGTCGGCCACCTCCTTGGGCACGCCATCGCCTAGGGACTGTGGGTGGGGGTGGTAAAACGCAGTCGATACACAAAAGTAAGTTATTTAAACCGGCAGAGCAACCTACCTGCAAATAGGAAAGACAGTCATTGTGGCTTTTGGATTTTGTCTCGCCTTTGGGAATTGTCGCAGCCATTGTTAAACAGGACCCGCCTGGCTAACGGAGTGGTTGGAGCAAACTAATAAATAAATTAAACAAAACTCTTATACATTCCGACTACACGTGCAGAGTCATCGTTGGCTATTTATCGATAACAGCGATGAGTACTCTTCGAAATAGGCATTTGCCCGCTTATTGGCATGCGGTCTCACTGGCATAGTGCTTCAGTTCAAGATGGCGAACGATGCGAGCAAGCTATTGCTATCTTCAAACCAAGAAAAAACCAGTCATTATACGTAAATAAACATGATTCAAGGTGAAATTTGTACATTTTTCACTAACCACAATCTTTTGCTTCCACAGCTACCTGAAGGAATTCCGCGTGGAACAGTGTCAATCGTTCCTGCAGCACAAATGTAACCAGCATCGCCCATTCGTTTGTTTTAATTGGCATTTTCAAAATCAGCGTCGTCGGCGACCCGTGCGTAAACACGATGGCACATTTAACTACAGCGCTGATAATTATTGCACCAAATATGATGAAACAACTGGAATCTGTCCTGAGGGCGATGAGTGAGTATTAACGCTGTTCAAAGTGTGACGTCTGGCTGGGTGAACTGTGAAGACGCCAACGCGAGCAATCAACGACGTAGTATTTTTTCATTTCCTCTTTGCGCTCAATTTTCTTTGCAATGTGTGTGTATCTCTTGGCTTCGTGTTTACAAACAAAAACTTTTCGTGCGAGTGTGGAGAGGAATCAGCGTATCATCGACTAGCTAAAAGTGAAATTAAATAGCCACTATTTCTATATATGCCAGTGTCTGTGTATGTGTTTGTGCGTAATCTAATAACACCCTAAGCAGAGGTCAATGCTAACGGCCGCCCATAGAATGCAAAAGTGAAAGTGATTTAGGCGATATAGCAGCTCGAGCTCGGAAATTCTAATCGGCAAGTGTCTCGACTGAGGGTTGTTGCTCTCGCACACACTCTCAAGTGCGCAGCGACAGTTATAGCTGCTACAAGTGTGTGCGTCATTGTTTTTATTGCGTTTTGCTTTTGCGCGTTTTTCCTTCAGTTTATTTTGGTTTTCCCCCGGCGGCGGCATCATAGTATGTAGTAAACGCAGTACTGGTAGCTTCAAATGTACAGTTATATTGGGCAAAGCTTTCCCGCAAAGCTTTGAGCAACGAACGCTGAGCACAAAGCAAGAGAGAGCGAGTAATAGTAAAATAATACGCAATTTCATATTCTGCAATAACAGAAACAACAATCCTGACCCTGACTTGTATTGTGAATATATATGTTTGTGTCTGTGTCTGTGTGTGTGTGTGTGTGTGTGTGTGTGTGTGTGTATGTAGGTGGGTGGTGATTCACCCAATTGCTTTTATAACCGTAGGTTGGGGATGAACGGCTGCGTCG